CACATATACGTACAGACATATAGAGCTTCTAATGGAACCGCAGACGCTGTCTCGATAATGATTGCTTTGAATATTGAATCAATGGCAGCAAATGAAGAATGTTTTGTGGTTGTAGAGTGTATTTATCGTGAAACATTTAAGATGATTGGTGAAAGTGATTCTGTAAAAAATGAAGAAGATGATTATGGTAGTATAAAATATTTCTTTAATTAATGAATGAACGAATGGATTAATTAATTAATAATAATAATTTCTCAATAATTATAATTATAATTATTATTATTATTACAGTACAAGCACTTTTACGACCATCCTTTATAAGTGGAAATGTATTTACGCCTAGCAATTTAGATACTTTACTTTGTCAATGGCAAGTAAATAAATAAATTATCACAAATATTCAAAAAATAAACCAATTAATTAAAAAAATTATATGATTATATAAATTAGTTTTTATAATAGATATATTCCAGCTATCGTAAAACGTCTTATATTCAGTCATGACCCTGATAATAAAATGTCAACTCCAAAATTCAATAATGCTCAAGATGATGAATGGCAAAGTTTGAAAATTAGTTCTGGTCACATGTATCAAATTGATATTCCTTCTTCATTTATTGGTAAAAAAAGATTAATTTTAATAATATTATTATTTATTTATATATTATAATTAATTATATTATTTCTCTCTTTCACAATATTATATAGGCAAGGAATATCATTTATTTTTTAATTTCCTGATTAAAGAACATAAAGCTGTATCATTAGGACTTTACAGACTTACTCGACATGAAGGTGGATATCTAAGATACATTTATTTGCATAATTAACTCTCGCTTTATACAAATCTTTTCTTCTTAAAGGAGATCCATTAATAAAATGGACAGGATTAAATTTTGACAAAGACCTTTTTTGGTAATCATCGGGTTCGTTAGGAGATAAGATAACTATTGGTGAATGTTTGGTGGAAGTTTTTTCCCCACGGAGAACCATCATAAAGATGTCAAGATTAGCAGGAAAATTTTCACTATAATTACAAATTAAAACATGATCTTTAACATGTGGAATTTCTGATTTTTCATTGAAGCAATAAGCAGCCGCATTGTCTATATTATTTTGTATTATTTCTGAATCAATCACATTTGATTGCAAATCCGATGGTTCTCCACCGTCATCAATGTCATCTACAGTAGCTTTAATTTTTAATTTTGTATGATCTAAATTATTTTCAGTTTGAGTATCATCATTAATATTTCTATTTTCACCGTTTTTCTTTGCAAATAAATCATGCGCAGACTGAGTTATAAAAGATAAACTCGTGTATTTGTAGGGAGTTTGAACATGTTCAACGAATCGAGCCATTTTAATAGTTATCTCAGCATTATCACAAATCACAAACCCAATCTCGTTTCCTTCTATAACATAATCTTGTGGATTTAAAAATATTTGAAATGGTGAGGCGTTTGGTGGTAATTGTTTAAATGGTTCCTTGGAACTTTGTGTTATTCTGTAAATTCCAATTGAAAATAAAACTGCCCCTAATCGGTTATAAACTAGTTCTGAACATTCTAGAAAAGTTTTACCAATAAAATCCTTTGAGAATGTTACAGCATAAATTTCTTGATTAATCCCATTAATATATTCAAGTGCCCAATGCAATCCTATTAATCAATCAATTAAATATATATATAAACATATTGTAATGATTATCATCATTATCAATTATGCATTTATTTTATTTACTCTACCTTGTTTCTTTTTTGCACTAGAAATTAAATTATTTGTTACTTTTTTAGTGACGGAAGTTGTCAACAATACAATGAGTGAATAGAAACCAGGAATTATTAAACTTTGAGCCATTAAACCCATTGCTATTTCATCTATACAAATCACATCATTGGCTAATATATTTTTTGGAGAGAAAAGGTTAAAAGATTTATTAATAATTTGTGAGAGAAAAAACCTACGAGTAGAATTTTAAGAATATTTAATCACCCAAGAAATCAAAATGTGGCACATTTTCAGGTAAGTGAATTTGAGCATATAATGGTATTTTATTATTATATTTTTTAATAGCCTTTGAATTAAATAGATAGCAATAAGTAAATTTTCTTTTTTAAAAATAAATAATTTATCAAAATTAAATTACCAATGTTCTTAATATTTGTGCTGCATCATCTTCATCATCATTTTTAGAAAATTTTTTAGATAATATAAATACTACACTGGCGATATCAAGCCTAACTTTCTCAAGACTTTGACGTGAAGTTGTTGACCTGTGAAATATACAAGGTAATTGATTGGTTGATTTAATTACTTAATGAATTAATTTAATAATTATTATTCTATTTTCTCAATTATCTCATTTACCCTTTGACATATTGTACTCTGGTGGTAAACGCAGGATCTTCTAACAATAATGCAATATCATCTTCTGGCTATGAGATAAATAAATTGGTAGATAGAGTTAGTTGGTTTACTTTTTTTCCAATACAATTCTTCATGCTTCATTCTTTTCCATATAATTTTCTCACTTCTCCTATTTTTTCAATTAGAATTACCTCTTCAGGATTTAACACAACAACTTCAGTATTCATTGTATCCAAACCATGATCTTGACAAAAAAATTCACGTAGAAATTCGTATAGACTGGTCCCATCAAAATCTCCAGTGACAAGGATATGCTTCATATTAAATTCAGGTTTATATGGACGAGAATATTTTGATCTTTGTCTAATAAGATCAAGAAGTTCTGATAAGTTTGAGGGAAGAAATACTGCTCCTGCTATCATAACATATAATATCACAATTCGAGTAAAGGTGTTATCTGGTACTATATCTGTTGACATTCCATTTGTACTAGATTATTATAAATATATAATATATATATATATATATAGTTATTGATGGAGAAGAAATATGTGTGTCTGAGAGATATTAACTTTATAATTATTTACCAGCTCACTAATATGAAAAAAAAATATTAATTGGTAAATTTGATTGATGATTGATTAACTAATAATAGATGAATAAAACAATTATTTGTTTTCAGAATTTATTTACCAACTGTAAAAAAAAAGGTATCCATAAAACTCAAATGTTCAACATTATCATGATGTCCATACTGTTTATAAGTTACAATATGAATGAATGCAGTTATCGTAAGAAATGTAAATAAAATAGTGGTCACTAAAATGTTGTTGTTGTTTGTTATTTGGGCGAAAAGAAAATTTTTGAATTTTATCTTGTATGGATTTTTTTTAAATATGAAAGGGACAAGAACAACAACTTACTTAATTGTGCAGCCTTCCTTGTAACTGTATCTAGATTGAATAATGAACTTTTAACGGGGATAAAAAATAATGACACAGACCAATGAAGTCTAATAAACCTCACTGGATAAATATAAACCTAATAATAAGAATAATGATAATAAATAATAAAATGGTTTATAATTATTATTATTATCTAAAATTTAAATTTTTTTCTCAAATAAATTATCTACCAAAATTCCAGCTCCCATATAAGTATTGTCAATTTCATCATCAAATATTGTTATAATAGAGGCTGCAATCACTGGAAACACTGATAGCCAAGTAAGCACTGAATAAACACTGATAAAACTTTGTAGAGGTTCATCTGCAAGCCAAATGTGAGGAATATATTGAACTAAAATAATACAAGCAATAATTAAGTCTGCATTTTGATAAATTCGAGGATATGGTATCGGGTCTTGGTCGATCTTTACATATTGTGTGTTCTTTGCATGAAGGAAGGAAGAAAAATTTGGAGATTAGAAAATTATAATTTCGTAAATTTAGTAAAAACTAAGAAATTTAAAATTTACCCAAATATATAAAAAGACAAATGTCATTGACATGATAACATCAAATAATTCCCAGAATCTTCCTTTTTTTGAAGTATCTAAATCAAACTTTATCCTTTTTTTCAAGCTTGGTTTCGTTCCAGCTCGTTCAATGAATTTTCGCTGCTCCTGCATCCAAGCCTCATCAAATTCATCATAATCACCACCAGGACACTTATGAACTGGTGGTATTAAACTTGGCATTTTACTTATACTATTTGTTTTCTTTTTTTCATTTTTCTTTTTAGTTGTAAATGTTAAACTTTTTGGTTTCATGAATACACCTCTCCGATGTCTATCTTGTTGTAATTGTTGTAGTTGTTCCGGGTTGGCGCTGTAGCCGTTAGCATTGGCATTGGAGGAACCATTGCTACTATTATTTAATAATGGCGTATTTTCATTCATTTTTAAAAAAAAAATAATTGATAAATTTTGAAATTTTAACAAATTTTTATTTTACAAATTTATTTTTTAAAGGAATAAACACATTTCGGGTTTCTTTTGATTATCTGATAATTTCACACTGAATTGTAATATCAAAAATAATCTCACAAATGTCCTACATTAACATATTGTAAAATTCTAAATATAGATAAATTTCAAAATTTAATATATTGATGTTACGTTAGATCGGAAATTTTCATTACATCATAATAATAACAATAAATAATAACAATAAAATTTTATAACGGTAATAGTAAGTATTTTTTTTTTTTAAGTACTAGTATTAAAATATCCAGCCCACCGCCCATGGCTCTAAAAATCCCGCGCAGTAAAAATATATAATTATCTTGACATCTTGCTAATTAAACCAACTATTTAAAGAAGTTAACACTATATAAATTTAAGGTTTAATTTTGGATATTATAACACTGTTGATACAATCCATTGAACTGACCTTTAACCGCTCTTCTTAATCGGCCTTCTTTTAACCAGTTTAGAGACCACATTTAAATACTGGTCATTCGGTCTGTCTAATACTAATACTACCTGTAATTATAGTGATTTATCAAATAATTTATCAGACAAATAATATATTCATCAAAAAAGAATATTATAAATATTGTTTTCACCAAGTCTATTTCTTTTTTTTTTTTTTGTAGATAAATTCCCAGCTGACGAAAACGAACTCTCAGATTGTACTGAGTTTGTCAGTAGTGCCAAGTAAATTCTTATTTTGAAATTGAACTTGAACAGGAAAATAGATTCAGATCTATTTTGATAATCTCCATTTAAAAAAATTTATAAAACCTTTCATGATCAAAAGGTTTGCCACAAATATTATTACCTAATAGGTACGCTATTGATATTATTATTACTATCGTTATTATTTATTATTTAACGGTTCACTATCACGATTACTTTCTTTATTGCCATTATCATCATCTTTTATTTTGCTACGAGTATTGTGTTTTTTCTCAGCCGGCTGACATCGTTAATATGTAGGTAGAAGCAAGATGTGAATTTAACTCTACAACAGTTCTTAACCACTCTTTCTATCCAATAAAACTTCTCGATATAATCCCAGACAGAAGGTATGCAGCAAAGAGTGCCAATATAATTTTTAATTTTCTGTACGGCGATTGATCAAAAAGTCCAAATAATTCTTTTCCATCATACTTTCAACTTATTGGTCAGCGTGCTTCCTTGAAAATATATTAATTAATATATCAATTTGACATTGTGTATATCCATTATTGATTGGCATATCAAGGGTTGTTTTGTGAAAAAAAAAGTGGATAAATAACCAGGCCCTGGGAAGTTTTAATTCTTCCTGGCCCGGTGTGAACCACCTATTGATGTTACAAAAACTTGAAATATCATCAGTAACAATTTTTTGAAAGGAAACCCTACCTGCAATCGTTTAGTCAATTACTTCATCTCCAAACCTAAAATATCTGGTCCAGAAAAACGTTGTTTTTGTATCAGAATATTTCTTGCAAGATTCGTTAACTGTTACACTTGGAGTTGATATTGAGTAAATACTTCCTTCCATGTCTGTCTGATTCACATATACACTCAGGCAGGCATACATTCATCGTTCGTACTGTAGAACACCAATGAATTGCAAAGGGCCATTGAGATTTGAGAAAATTCAATTTTAAAAATGATTTTACATGAGTTTTTGCATTTGGCCATTATTGTCTTTTTTACCGTTTATAAGCCACGCCAACTGGCGGTTTACTATTAATATTAATATAATAAAATGACAATTCAAAAAAATTCAAAGCATATGCGATACAGCCAGCAAGATCAAATATTCACCAATTATTCTCCATTGCAGCATTATTAGTTGTCATCCCAATACCCTAAAGTAAACTAAAAAGAATTTTATTTAGATTTCTAATATTGTATTTTCTTCAAAAACGAATCTATAGTTAAATTATTGTTACGCGACCATTTACTAATGGTAATAGTGTACTCCCATTGTATATTGATATTTGTTTTTTTTTCCTATGGTTAGATGACGAATCATATCATTGTTACGCGTCCATCGATAGATAGTGAATGATGTTACTATAATTAATGATAATCCTTATTGTATATAATAATAACATTATGTCAATATTGGTCTTCAAAAATTAGATCTATGGTTAAACGAAACATTGCTACGCGTACTAGTAGAATAAACAATAGATATTTAATTATATATAATATAAGTAATAAATAATATACTATAGTGATTATAAATCCTACATTAAAAAAATCCCCTGATGTTGCTTGTGTGTTGAACAATTGCCTTTATGGGTGTAATTTCTGTCGAGAACTTTAGTAATGAAAAACTTTCATTATGAAAAAAAGAAAAGAAAAATTTTCTTCATAAAGCTCAACGTTTTTCTTTTTTGATTATGTTAAAAAATATGTAAATATAAAATAATGAGTTATTATAACCTGACTATATATAACCTGCACTTCTTTTTTAGCCATATTTTTTTTTTTTTACCTAATCTTGAAAAAGAAAAAATTCAAAAAAAAAAACAATATCTTGGAGATAATAGTAAGTTGGATTTTTTTTTTTAGAGCCATAATGCATATTATTAATATGAAATTAATATCTTAAAATTTACGTATAGGCGTCTTTAGACGACGTGCACCGTATATATTATATACAATTGTTATGTAAATATTAATTTATATATATGTATATCTATACCAGAAATGTCAGTAGCTTATGTTGCTTTCTAGAAGTGGAAGGTTTTCTCTGGTTATGCACACAATTTCTGGTTATGCACACAATTTCTGGTTACGCATACATCCTTTGACTTATTGTCATTAATTTTTTTATTTTTGTCTTTGTTATTTTTTTTGTTTGTTAGTTTACTCACAACGTATTTGTTCATAAGATTTATAAGATAATATTTTCTGATAATCAATCCTTCTTCTCGTACCACTCACGGCTACCTGTCAAGGCAAGTCACAGGAAATGTGTTTCTGATTAGTTTGGTTATTTAACTAAGTAATAAACTCTAGGGCCACTCATATCTTTGATTTGAGTATGAGCACTGGGTCTATTGTTAAAAATTGGAAGTTTTGGCGTAAAGACTCCATATTTAATAAATAATTTTTTCAAACTAAACATCTACACATAGTATCAATTAAAACCGTTTTCAGAAAATCTTAAGCATTATAATAATAATAATAATGACAAGAGCATTTAGATTACATGGAAATCATTGAATGAGGATATCACTAAAACATGACGAGAACTTTTTTTTTAAAAAATATTATTTATATTTTTTTCATTTATTTTACAAGAGTTATAATGTAGTAAAATGAATTGGGTGTATGTTATGAACTGTAAACCATAAACGTATCGGGTGTTACTAATATAATATATAAAAACAAAAATAGTTGACCATATACAGTGTGTTAAGAAAAAAATTGGCCTTCGGAGATGTAAAATTTAAAATGCATAATTTCCATACCATAATAATTAAATAAATCATAACAAATCAATTTAAGACAATAACAATCGACTCTGTAATTTAGTTTTAATTAAATCTATAACCTTTTAAACATCGTCTTTGTGCTTTAAAAATGACTGCAAACAAGTTAAATTCTCAACGCCAAACTCTTGTAATAATGGAGTCCGATCTCAAAAGGAACTCCACAAAATTACTAATATCCCCCTCTCAACAATCAAGTATAATATCCA